GTCATTTTCTGACTCATGCAAGAGTATGGATGCCCGCTGATAGCCTGTGGCTGCCCGCTCACCGCCATCTTTGCAGTATCGTCGCCCGCTCATTGAAACTGCTATTTATCGCCGCCTCACCCAGCTTTTGATTGTCTGAGCTGCAAGTTACTTGTTAATTGCATTCATGGAATGACTTGAGTCACAACATTTTTAGTACTGAGAATAAATGGGCGTGGGCAACAAACGACTGATCTTTTATACTGAATGTCTGTCTGTCGTACTCATGTGTTCGCAGGTTCCAAATCAAAAACGTTATTTCCGAAACGATTCGGACTAAACCGTTTCCGGGCGGGTTTCATAGGCTACTTCTTTGTCATTGATTTTCCTGCAGACTACAACCATAGCGTTAGGACTCGGCACAAAGGTGAATGAGCTTGTTGATTACGAGGGAACTGTTACGTTTTGTAAGTAACTTCCAAGTTTCCTTCTTCGTCAACCTCGGCTTGTTAATAGTAGTTAGTATGTGAGTAGGCCGACCGCAACTGGTAGATGTTTACCGATAGTTGCAGCCTGATCTCAGACAATCGCCGGGGGCAGGCGGGCACCGGAACAATAGATTGCTGATCTCTCGCAGCCCGCTCGCGGATTTTTTGCAAAGCAATCAGGACTTTTCGGAAGACCGCTTGCTGAGTTCTCGATTCCTCAGAGATTCAGCAATATATCTGCAAAAGATAAGAGCGAAAAAAATTCAGCAGGCGGTTTCTCAAAAATCCGCTGACTCAGCAAGCGGTCTTCCGAAAAGTCCTGATTGCTTTCCAAAAAATCCGCGAGCGGGGTGCGAGAGATCAGCAATCTATTTTTCCGGTGCTCGCCTGCCCCCGGCGATTGTCTGAGATGCTTCGACTTCTTATTATTATTATTCTTCGAAAGCCTCCTTCTCCGCTGCCGTAGATGGATGCTAAATGCGGCCGTCCATGGGTGCCACCAATGTGGATTACCTGATACGAGTCGAAACGTCAGGCCGTCACTAACAATAAACACCTACTAATTTCGCTCGGCTTACTCACATACTAACATCGCTTTTTTATCATTACTAGCTGCGGTGCCCGGTCCCGCCCGGGCCAAGGGTTCAAAATGGATGTTTCAAGATGTTCGCTTACCATTCCTCCACTTCCTTCAGATCATATTTTCTCTTCCTCTCATGCTTTAGCTCCAAGTCAGTTATTTAGATTTAGATTAGGCTTCATCGAGTTGTGGGAATGGCATTTGACTTAGGGAGGGCTGATGACGAATATTTTAGCCGTTTGTGATGAGACTCACTACTTTGACTGATTCCGTCGCTTACTTAGAAACTTGGAGCCTGAGAGTTGTTACAAAGGTTGAATGGACATGTTGATTACGAATAGTTGTGTTGGTGAGATTACCCATTACTTTATTATTTCATCATTTTTTGCGAAGTTTGAGCTACGGACCTGGGATTTGGCACGGGGGGGGGTATATAGAAATAACGAAAGCAACATTTATAACAAAAAAAGAATCGCTGCATTTACCTCTATCACTTTTTTGCAAAGTTTGGCCTAAGGGGCTGGTTGGTATACTGGGATAAGTGAGCAGCTGATTGAGAAAACATGGTGGAAGGAAACTAGCATATAAGAGTAGATTAGGGATGGCATAGACGATTCGTCGCACGCAAAGACTGCGGACGCATCGGCGTTTCTCTGATTAAGCACTCTTTTGTTTCTCTTACCATCTGCTGTCTCTCCGACGCACGAACTATTTTGGTCGGACGCGCGCTCAGTCTTTACATGTATGGAATCGTCGTTACTTTGTTGCAAACTTAGAAAATGTTGATAATGATCATAGTGTATTAATAAAGGCTGGCAAAGCCGCGTAAGCGAGCTATTGCACATTAAAAATCAAAGTGTTGTAAAACAAATATTATTCTGTCCTATGCAAATATAGTCTAGTCCGTTAGCCACCACGCAAAGGCCCTTTCTCTCCCAAAAACAAGATTAGAAGCACTGCGAGTAAACAGCAAATTAAAAAAAATTTATGACGAAAACGATGGAACAAATTGAAATTTTAGGCACGTAAAAAAGATCTGGTGTGCAAACAAGATGCAGTGTATGTGTAAAAAGATAGCATAAGCACGAGAAGTACGACTAAGCATGATTCTAGCGTAATTGAAACGAACTCACTTTCCAAATAACGAAGTTTGCTGCAGTGGACAATTGCGAGGAACAAAGAGGATTGCTCATTTTGGACACTGGGCGCTTGAGCCAATGATATTTATTGCATTTGGCGTGCGCCACAGAAGAATGTGTGTAAGTGGGTCTCTTAGGCTCTCTTATGTTCAAGGCATACCTCACGAGATTTCAGTCGCTACGCGATCTGGCAGTTTGCTAGATGTCTTCAAATTCAATACTGGTAGACCTCACAGGCACAGCACACATAATCGTAGGTTGATAAGCCCTATCTTATTTACATTCCAAAACTTCTTACGATGAGTGAGTCATGGCTCATTGGAGGTGAAAAATTGCGTCGGGACTGAAATCGTGAGATATGTTTTCGGCGGGGGAGGTTCGCGAGATTATCGAGATTAGTCTTTGCCATGCCTTTATGTCTCAAGTCAGACACAGTGCCTTGCCTTCGCCCCCTGTCATGATCCTGTCGCTACGTGTCGCGGCAGGTAGCAACCCTGTGCTGCCTCCACTGACTCCCCCCCTCCCATGGTTGCAAATGATTAGCCGCCATGCCTCCTGTGCTCAAAAAACACTTGGGCGTGGCTTGATGCACTTTCCGAACTTTACGTCACAGCAGGCGGACAAGCATCTATCATCTATTCTATGACTAGGATACGCGAGACCGCTTGCGTGTTTGTTCAAATTTGAATTTATTCTTCTCTGTTTTCGAAGAGCGAATAAACCTCGAAGAGATAAATAACGAGTATAAACCTGCTAGTATACGAATAGGTTTGTTTAGACAATGTGTGCAATGCGGTTTCACGTCTCCTAGTCACAGAATGAATGATACTTCGGGCGGTCAGCTTACTGCGTCGATTGAATATGTGGATTATCCAAATTTGCAAGCAAGCACCGACCAAGACCAAAATCAAGTTGACTTGGAAAGTTGTTGTAATCTTCCTTCGATTGAGTGATGGATCAGGACACGTAGTGATTATAGCGGTTTATTATTGGACCGAATAAAACAATAGTAATTGGAGACGAGTGACATAGCTAGAAAGAGTTTTTGAATAGTGCTTATTTTCCTATAGAAACAACGCAACATTACAAATCAACATAACATCAACAACCATATCCAAATCTTATATACAATGTAATTTTTCAACGCAAATGTAGGAAGTTGCTTACTCAATACAGGCCATCTAAAATCTAATACATACCTGGCGTCGGGTGTTTATACGAAGTGGTGACAGCAACGCATTTAATGCGTATCGATTGCAGCAGAGTGGCGCTGCTCCTGCCTCACGCTGCAGTAGCTAACACAAAAGGTCATGTCCATACTCAGACATTCGCGGTTAAGTCCCGCCGGTAAAAACTTTATATCCCGGCGGAATGACTGCGGGAGCGCAGGTAAAATGATTCGCGAAAAAACCGGGACTCCTGCATTTCTTTCGGGATAATGCAGCGCGATACGCGCGGTTGTCCCGAAATGTTTTCTATTAAGAAAACAGCGAGCTTTTGCGGGAGACCCGATACTGTCGCAATCCAATCACCGGCGGAAGTGGCACAGCAAAAGTGTAGCTCTAGCCGGTGACGAACCGTGGCAGCGCGTTCAATTTTAATCGCTTACCTGTTCCAGGCAGGCAGTTCCCTTTTCAATAGTGAACATGTTTATAGGTAAACTGAGAACAAATCGCGTCTCCCAATAATCTCCCGCTTCATTTTACCGTCGGCATAAGCCCGAAACTCGGGACAAAGCCGGGTGTCGCGAAAGATTACCGATTTCTCCGCGATTTCTTATTTTGTGGGCGCATCTCCTGCGGGACTTACCGCGAATGTTTGAGATACCTAGCGACTCATCTTTGAGCAGCGCTGCTTAGATAAGCACTAATCAGCGCTGCATTAGATTTTGCAGCTGAGTTACGCTCACTTTTTCCGAGCGTTTCTCAGCTGCTTTCAGCCGCAGACAGCTGTTTCTGTTTGAATTTACCTATTTTCACCAGTTTTCAAGCTGCAATTAGCGCTTTGGAGATGAACTGGAGGGATATACTCCATGAAGTTGAGGGGATATGAAGTAATCTAATCAACTTGACGATGGGTCAGATAAACTGCCTTCACTGGACTCCGACTATGTCATTGCCTGAGGAAGACTATCACATTACGGCTGTTGATAAGGGTCGAATGGAATCGGCACCCTCACCTTTTCATTATAAATTTAATAATAATGGAACATGAACTCCACATGAAAGTAGAATATGACTCCAGATCCAATTCGAAACATGATAACTCTCTCGTTCTCGACAATAACTGGGCGATAGTGTAGTTATTTTCGGCGGTATTTGCACCCAACGAGCACCTAAGAAGCACCCAACTGCAGCGCTGATCAGCAGAAACAGCGCCGCTTTTGCTGCTCGTTTGTTTTGTCGATACCTAAGCACCGAGGTATGTATCAAGCCCAACGGCAAAAGCTCTATGTATTGAACCGCAACAACGCGCGTAAGTCATTTTCTGAGCCAAAATCTTGCCGATGTACGGTTTTAACTGCTTCTCATGGTCTCTCACTATTTTGCTGACAATTGAGATTCTCACTTTTTTCGCGGTCATACCAAAGCTAGATCACACCCGTCGAAGTTGTGTGATTGCACTATGCGCTGCTGTCGCATTTAGACGGATATTAAAGGTAAGAATATGATAACACACACTCACTTCTCATTAAAGAGACATAAGAGAAGACCCAGAGCTGTGGAACTTGAGATTGATTAGCAATCATTGTGCTATGGATTATGCTATGTGGCAGCGTTTGATGCTGCAAAATCTTATTGATACACTTTTCAGAACAAGGATGAACTTGTTATGGGAACTGAAAATGCCTTGGTCGTGGACGCAAGAGTTACTGGTCGACCTATGTCATCCATAATACACAAGTTCCGCGAGATCCTCTCTTCTTTTGACGTAATCAGCTACAAAAGGGGCGCTGCAATTATCGAAATGCTCCGTACAGTTATAGGAGAGAAGAATTTTAGAAAGGGACTAACGGTGCGTTTTTTTTCACCTGATTTGTTGTTAAGCCCTCTTTCAGGCATCTTGATCTTTATCGTTTTCAGCTTGTAATCTATGTCAGTTTTGAACGCCCTTTACAGAGCAACATCAGAACGAGACTAGAGTTACAAAGCTTTAATGTTGGACTTCAAATTGCCTAGACTGCAAATTGCTTTAATCCTTTCGGGCCTGAGTTTTTCCGAGTAAGCAGAGGAGCCTCACTCCAATTGTTTTATACTTACTACCACATGATTAACCTCACCCTCAAAAGAATTCACTTCAACCACATAAACTCTTTCTTTTTGATTTTTTTTGATTTTTTGGTTTTGCTTTTATTTTGTTTTCAATTCTCCTTGATACATGTGGGCCCGCGAACAATCAGCAGTTACACTTTCTCAACATTGTACTCGAACATTCTGATAAAATTATGATTATTTTTTGGCTAATAGACGAGGTCCTAAAACGGTGCTGAAGCTGGCGCGAAGTATTGATTGGTTGTAATCCACTGGTGTACAGAAATGTATATATTGCAGAAAGGAAAACAAATGAACACGCGGTTTCAAAGCTACATTCGAGAGACAAAGGTTATATGAAGCGTTCTATAGCTATAAGTAATAAAAGGTTTTCTTGCGGCAGTACAGCTTGTCACTCAATTGATGTGGCAATGGCCACCACCAGGTCCGAAAGGGTTAAAGGGGTAGATGAAGGCGCATCTGAGATTAGCCTTGCCCTATCTGAAATATACATTACCATAGACGCAAGCGGTCATGTAGTTTTTTTAACTGTTAATTTTAATTTGTGACAGTGCTTTAAGTTGTAGTCTTTTTTTTGAATCAAAAACGAGATCCATCAGGTTTTGCTTGTATTCTTGATTGATGAGGTACTTGAAATACACATTCTACTGCTTCTCTAAGCTTTATATAGCCCGCGCGAGCCTGACGCACGCACTACTATCATTCTGAGAATTTTGCATCTTAGGCACAAATCATTACATGCACTTTGCTTAATGATAACGTTATAGATTAATTAATGGCCCGTTTCTCTTTCAAAGTGAATAAAGTTGGGAGAGTGGATAGTGTTAGACCTAAATGATCATATCGTGTATCTTGGTTCAATCAAATATTTTGGCTTTACTGTTACATCCGCTTCAACAAGAACTTCTTGCCTACAAGTTGTTTGCCGCGCATTCTGCTGTTTGCTAGTCTATCCATCTGTCACTTGTACTCTTACGAAGCAGTCATGACCACGCTGAATACCAGACATTCAAACTTTGGTGCTATTCTAAGAGCTAGTGCACTAGTGTTTAATTGTTTATTTGTTTGTTTGCACATAAGGTGGCCAATTTAACTATAAGGAAGAACAAACAGAAACACTCGATCGATAGAAAAGAAAATGATCTATTACACTCAACTCCCCATGTCAAGTGCAACAGTTGCAAAAAACGAGGAAAACCGTAAATGAAGTTCCGCTTGAGCCACAGAAGCAGACTTTACCGGCTTAGAATATAGATAGATGATTAGCATTGGGGAATGCCACCGCACTAAATGTAGTGTAAGTTTGAGGGCGTCCGAGACTAGATTGGTTCACGTTAAGTATCCACCAACCTAACATTCTAGCCTCAAATACATCTCTAGTACCATCAAGCAAAACAGATATCGAGTAGCACTTCTAAGATAGAAGCAAACATAAGAAGGAGTAAAAGTAAAGATCAATGAAGAATGTTAAACTTCAACAGGCAAAATCAAATAAAAACAACTAAAGCTAAAGTATCTCTTTAGTTTCTAAAACACTCAATAACGCAAGCAACTATGCGATGCAGTCGTAAGTAAAAAAAACACATTACGTCATCAATGCCCAAACTTGAAGTATATATTTTAACTTTTGCTTTCAAGTTCGCTGAAGACTTAGAGACAAAAAGGATGGAAGTAGTTTGCGATTAGGGTTAGGGCTCCATTATAGACAACTTTAGTAAAAAAAAAACTTCTGCACTTTTTCAGTCATCAATATCTTCATTTTTATCAGGATTCCAAATATAGCTGCAAACATAAGCTTTATAAATCTTTAAAAGAATTCTCGAGTCGCGAGAGTGGACAGTGTTCATCAGCGCATATACCATACCATCTATCGAAAATGCTTATAGATTTTATGACTATTAATTGAAATAAACAAGGGCCTAAAAACCTACTCCTTAAAGCAGCTTCTTGTTAGAGCAGAATGACTTTTGATGCCTTGAAAGCAAAAAAATGCAGTGTTCGCTTCTATTCGAGTAGGATGACAGATCGTAGGCGTCGCAAATGTTTTATATTTTAGGACGTTCGTACGAAAAAATTTGAGAGACAGGGAATGCAATAGTGATTAGAAAAACCAGGTGGCTTTACAATTTTCTCCAGCTGTCATTAAGGGCTTTTTCAAATTTCTTCGTTTTTCTCCGTTCATACTCAACAAGACCCGTTTTGAGAGGTCATGGCAGGTTGACATGCGCACAACACATCAACGTTTCAGGCAGACTCATGGAGAAGAACGCAACTTACGACGATTTCTAGAGTGGCTTTATAATTATGTCCATCATTGTAGCTCTTGTCTCGCGTCTTGTATATGTATACATGACAATTCAAAAAAGGCTAGAAAGCATATCGCTCTCAAAATTGCAATTCTGCGGGATGAAGCGCTCGTCTATATAGGAACAATTTCCTGAACGATCTGGTAAATCATGCATGTAACAGAATGAGCATAAGCGGATAACTTATGTGCTTGGCTATTACGAGATTTTGTAAAAATAAACAAAGTACAACATTACTAACATGTTTCTACACCAATTCCACTTTGAATAGTTGACGGTTTTCTTCTCATATAATTGTTTGACTCCAACACAGCTCAGATAAATAATCTGTGATGTTTTGCTCACCAAATGTATTAGGTTGTCCCGTAAGTCTTTTCATTCTTGAGTTTTGCCGTGATAAGTCGTGCACACTTTTTGTTCTGAATAGACATTATGATACCATTCGATAGAGCCAAACAAGCTATAGTTGTCCTCCTCCCAGCAGACACCTAGTGGACGAATTTGAATTCGAACTCGAGCACGCTGGTTCCGGCATAGCGCGGCACCTGCAGCGCTTACTTTGATCTCGAACAAATTTATTGGTGTTTTCTCGACATTTCATTTTACTTTTAACATGTCGACGCTTTTTTCAATAGCGATCGAGGATTTTGTAGCTTTTGAGCGATGTGCTATGCTTGCTTCTGCAGCGCTAACTTCAGGTTAAACTTGAAGAAGCAACTAAGTTCGCAAACTGTGATAGTGGAATCTTTCTCAATGTGTAACATGTTCTGAAGCGTTCCTTCATCGAACTTCATGTCAGAAGCTTTTGTATCGTTTTTCCAACCCTCTGAAAATATAGCTAAAGATAGGTTTCTAGTGGGGGGAGGACGACTATATATAAAATGCCGTTATGCTTTTGCAGCTTGTCAGCTTCGATTCATCTCAACTTTAAAACCAAAATCAAAAAAATTTCGAATACCAAAAAAAATTGAAAATTTTTTGTATCTTCGTTTAAAAAAGTCCTACAGATCTCTCACTTGCTCATGTTTATCACTCCGCATCAGGCACTCGTATGTGCTGTTGCTGTATTTTTTCATTCGCTGGAAATCGAGAATTGTTTCCAACAAATGTCTGAGCCAAGTCTTGCTATATCCTTGCCAAAATCTTATCTACAGCGCTCGCGCTCCTAATTACCTTCTACGGATACAGGCGGCAGGCCTTTGGTTTCTCCTGCACCGCATCCTCTTGACATTTAGCCGATTCAAAAAAATACAGCAATAGCACATATGAATGTCTGGTGATAAATTTTTGATGTGGCAAATATATGCTTCCATTTTTGATGTGGTAAACATATGCTGATTATGTTTTTCCGAGAAAGCATTGGGGTGTCCTATAATCCTTACCGTTTTTAACCTAAACGTCAGCATTTATCGAGAACTGAAGCCTCTTCAAAGTTTACAAACACATGATCGTACTTCTATGTGTATGAGCTATATGATCACGTGCATGGGAAGAGTAAGGACGCCTAGGAGCGTAGTTTGCCATTTTACCCCAATCATTTTTCTTTATTTCTACTCATGGAAAAAAGTACGGAATTAGCAATGCGCGATGTGTAAAGCATACGTTAGGATAAATGGATAAATTTTGAATATTCCGGGAGGGGTGGGGAGATACGATTTTGAAGGAAAAGTTCATTTTCGACTACTATCAGATTTCATCTCAAAACTTCACATGGAATACGATTTGGGTAGACTTTCGAAGCCATCTTTTAGAGCTTGCTTTGCCCTGTCGAATGTTTACTCAAGCCACATCAATTGAAGGAAAAATACAAGGAAAAGATTGACATAGTAAAAACAGTAAAAAATTATGGGACACCCTAACAAGAATTCTGTACAAATTCTGAGAGCAAATAAGGATGAATCACGTAAAAACACATAGTGTTATAGCTAATTCTCAGAGGGAGATTTCCCAGAACTAGCTATTGCATGGTTTACTGGAGGAGAAAGCAATGCAAAAATTCTGACATGTGTAATTCCTGGTGAGACTCTATGATGTACACGTATATCTTGAAAAAGTCCGCATGTTACACAGATGAGCGTCAAAAATATTTTCAAATGACAATTTCGTGCATACGCGCGTATGCACGGGCCAAATGCACAAGGAACGTTAGTGTTGGTGGGACGTTCAGAATGGCTCGGTCGTCAACTTGTTGAGCTCTGAGGCGCAAAAAGTCCTGCAAAAAGTCTCTTTCAAAAGTTTCCGAAAAATTGGTTCTTTTTGCACCACAAATGGCCTGATTTTATCAAATGATTCGAAGCCTTTCTTTCTAGAATAAAGTTGGAAAGATTTTTGATTTTCGAATTTGTTTAGCTAATATGTTCTGCACATTCTTCAAAACCAGACCTTCAGTCAAAATATTTGTAATGCGATCGGATTTCTTGCTTATTGCGAAATCGGAGCAGGAAGAAAATTAGTATCATGTCTCAAATGATTCCATATGATGTGTAAACTACACTTGCATTATGAAAATTAGCCTAACAGAAACGCTTGGGTTTCTTATCAATTTTTCCACAAGTTTTTGATCGTGCGTCAAAATGAGTAAGAGATTGAAAAAGAACTAGG